GACCACAGAGGGGATGAGGGAGCCAAATCAGTAGTTTAGTTTGGTTTGGAATAGGATGAGGAGAGTGGGACTTGAGATATCTGTAGAATGGATCAAGAGGTGGTGTGTTTATAGTTTTCTTGACTGAACTAACTATATCAAAAGCCAAGTTTGCATTGGTCTTCATCAGATCATGGGCAGTCCCAGTGCCAGGGGAGATGCCTGTAGACCAATTTATGGGGGAGAAAGCACTTCGATCCTGCAGGTCTGAGGGTCCCCAGCGGGAGGCAGCACAGCCCTGCAATCTATATTGGATTTAGTCCTCTGCCATCTCTGGGCCCCACACACCCCACAGAGAGGAACTTCTATCTGTCCCTAAGACAATATGTTATGACACACATGAGTACACATAATAGAGTAAAGACACAAGCGGCAGCACACAGATCTACTAAGTCCATCTTCAGGCACACTCCCCCACAGCAAGGAAGTCATAAGTGCAGCTTCTGCCACTGTGGGAGCGGCCTGGGGTCAATATACTCAGAGCTCAGACAAACTCAGAAAATGGGCCAACCCAGAGACACAGTGAGTTATGTGAGGTTCACTATTGTTTCTGCTGGGAAAATACTGCACGCATTTATAAAGGCCAAGGTGTAAACTCTTTTTTTTTTATCACATTAAAGCAAGAAAAAAAAAAGAATTTACATAAAACTCAGACAAGGTCAGGGAGAAACAAGGTTCTTAATTTAGTCTAATCAACTGTCATTTGCATCGTGCCATTTGTGCAAGGTATTGCCACTAACTGAATAAATGGACTTCTTCAGACTCAAGGGGGGGCACTCTGGTTTTGATAAGATGGCAACATCCCTGATTTGCATATATTACTTTGATTATCTCATTACTAGGATGATTCTTGCAAAATTTTTGAGACTCGCGCAATCGAATTAAAATTACGGCACGCAATCAATAAAAGGGCACCGTAGCTGTGCAAACACACCGCGTCCTCGGTTTGTATGGTCAACCAGCACTGAGCGCAATGGAGACGATGGTTATGGTGATGCTGCAGCAAAGGATGATGGTCATGATGATGATGATGATCACCTCTTCAGCTCACGAGCTCCAGGCCTCAGTGGCTTCTTAGGAGAGTCCTGGGCTTTTGATTCCTGTGATCAAAGTAGTAATCAGTAGAGACAATGGGGGCCGTGAAATTGCCGCTCTCGTGTGGGTGACCTATCCACCTGCTATGAATCTAAGAGTGGCCTGCAGGCGGCTCATAGTCCACAATCGATAATAGCGCTCACGTTTTTCTTCGACTCAAGCTTTCTGTGGAATGATGAAATCATGCGTAAAAACGCACACGCCTTGGAAAATTTTGCGATGAGCAAAGTACAATGTGGCAATGTAACTAGGAATTGGTGCATCATGGGCAAAGGGGACAAAAACTCAATTTAAAACATGAAACCATTCTCACCAAATTGACGTGATAGAAAAAATCACGCAAATAGGCTTTAAACTCTTTTTTGTTTGCCCAAGAAATGCTTGGTTTAGCCTATTTTTTGTTAATGTGTTCAGATAAAATTAGAGGATATTTAAAATGGTCTACAATGATGAAAAGTGCTTTGGTGCAGGCCTCGACGATGAAGATGATACGTAATGCGGGACTACAGTTGGAAATTCATGGCTATCCAAGAAGTTGTCCTTGCTCAAATGCTAAAAAAATATATTCAGTTGTCTTTTCTTTATTCTTTAAAAACATGGTATAGATTATAACCAAGAGGGAAGTTTTTCTGAAGCTCCTGTTGCTTTAAGGAAACACACGGACACCCCCTTCTCCGTGGAAGACTGTATGTGCGCAATCTGGGAGCGAGGGCGCACGTCCACGTTTTAAATTCATGATGTAAATAATTACAGGCCTCGGAATTGATTTCCTTACGACCTTCTCCAGCCCCCGAATCCCCAAAAGAAAGCTACTTCTGTTGAAGCATTAAGTCATTAATTATTTTCCTTACATAAGGACAAATTATCGAGTCAGTTGAACGAAATTAGAACCCTTTGTTTCTGATCAGACCGCATTACCGCTGGAAATTACGGATGATGGCAGCGTGCACGGCTGCCTTTGTTGTTTCGATCATCGCCTGTCGCTCTGAACTCGCGCTAACAAAGTCATTAAATTGACTCCCTCTCGCTCTCATTATGCGGGCTGTTAATAACCGCTAATTAACTTTGCTTACGCGCGCCTTAAAAGCCTCCCTCCCTTCCCCGGTGCACCCTCACTCCTTCCTCCTCCTTTCCTTCTTTTCCTGCTTGGCCTCTTGAGCAGAGCAATTATGCCAGAAGATGCACGAGGATGGAAGAGTTGTCTTTGGTCTAACAAGGCCACAAGCTCACAGTGATGGGAAACAGTGCCATTTATAATGCGGATCATCATCTGGCATCAAGGCCAAAATACATGATTTACCCATTCTGTGGCCTATTTAAAGTTTCCCTAAACGTAGAAACTATTCACAAATAATGGTCATTTACTGCTGCAATGTGGCAGATTAACAACAATTAGACACAGAATCTACTTCATAATCCATCTTTTAGCTCTTTGAACAAATTTGTCCAGAAGATGGCGCCATTTGAACGACATGCACAGCGATGCCAACCCTAGGTTTGAACTTTGGTTTCTGTGGCCTTTAATGAGATGGACGTGGCACGTGCTGAAATACGATTGACATTAAAACACCGGTAGTTAAATACTTGAGTATCATCATGGCAATTTAAGTACGCTAAAATGAAAATAAATTCTTAAACTTGAAATATTGCGATTTAAAGTAAAAGTCCAATGAGGTCATCTGGTCAAACTATACACGTTCAACACGTGTTTTGTTTTCTTGCATATATATTATGTATATTGGGTTATATTGTTATAACGTGGAGTGAATGGATGTTGAGCTGGTACCAAGATGCAGGGCCCTCTGTAGCTGTCATCTTTTCACCTGCTCGTCAAACAGACAGAAAATTGAAAATTGCACACAGTCTATTTCTCAACTCCATCCCCCTCCCTCTGGCTAATGTATGCGTGTAATTAGTGCATTTAAACAAAGCGCGGATGTCCTGCTGGCTGAAATGGCGGCTGACATCTCTTTTTCCACAGGGTTAATAACAGTGTGCGGATAAATGAATCAAATTGTGGCCCCCAAATTACAGAGCGACTCTAAATACCCGTCTGTATTACGCACGTCTGTTTGTGACCGCGTAGGAAAAGGCATAACATTTTATATTGTTATTACACTCATTACATTGATTTGTGCGCAAATAAACAAGCTTCTAAGTTTGTGACACCAGAAAAGTTGGGTTAAATCTGACACCGAAACTGCGCTGTTTATTAATACTTGGCGATAAATTATACAGGCCTGACAATTGTCAATAATAAGTCCAATCCTTTTTAATGAGGCCATGGTACCTCCATTTACGCTCACGGCTATGCTCTTTGTGCCAAGATAAATTACTTTCATATTGCATTTCTATTCACAAATGGACATAAACAATCACTTAAAACATAAAATAAAAAAACTATATATTTTTATTGTGATATTTTTGGGTAGCTGCTATTCTTCAGACAGATACATAACTGAGAGGAAGGCGAAGAGAGAGAGCGCGCGAGAGTAAATTGCAGCTCGCTGAAGTTTTTGGATTGAATTCTGAAAATGATCCATTTAACAGTGATGGGCTCTGAGGCGAGGATAGGGGTCATGCCATTCACAGCAGGTTAAATAGACTTTCATTTAAAATTACATTCTCGATCCATCTCTCTCCCCCTACTCTCTCTCTTGAGCACGGAGTCCCCTGCGTGGTATCCCGTCTCCCCGTGCGCCACCCTCACTTTTTAAGTCAATCCACAACTCCAGCTGAGCGAACCCAATTGAGCTAGAGAGCAAGGCAGACCGACAGAATGAAAGACAAGATACCCAACAATAGTCTGCTTTTAACGGCCTTAATTTACAAAATTCAAGACTAATAATGTTGAAATTATTATTAAAACAATGTTACATTAAACGCAGTTACATAAAAGTGACAATCTTGCTCCCTGTATTGATATTTCTGTTGTATGTGATTTCACCCCTGCATCTTTGCAGGTGCAGCGTAAGGTCGAAGCCAAACTCTGTGACAGATCTGGCACAAGGATTTAGAGTATAGAAGACGGTAATTTTAAAGTCACAAATCCATATAAAAAATATTATTATTTTAACCCAGTGGAACTAGGCTATCGCATGGCTGTTTTTTTGTTCCAAGAATTGAACATATAAATAACAATAATGGCCTACATTTTTTGAACCTGGTTAACTAGCGCCTATAATTACTGAATTAATATTAAAAATATATTATATGCTATTTTTATATCGTTTACAAATGCATCATAAAACTTGGCTACTGTTTTATTTATATCTAAAAAATATGTGTTCTTTATTTATTAAAAAATAATATTAAACATATAGCTGGAGGATAAATAACACTGACCTATATAAGATCAAGCATAGTTTATTGATTATTATTTTTAGATTATAAACCTGTTTGAAAATATTTAAAATTAATGAGTGTGAACATAAGTGTTTTGGTGCGTAAAGTTCATCACGAGTTCAATCCGGAAAAACTCCATGTCAGGTTTTGCTCTCCTACCCCCAAATTAACTTTAAACGCCAAAATATATAAAGGAGCTCTACGCTGTCTACTGCCATACACATGTACGAGCCAATCAGGCGCGCACTAGCAACTTCCACGTATACGAGGCGAGCGCACGGAGAGAAGCGGCTGGCACATCTCTGTACTGCGCAGCCAAACCGCTGTCTGTCATTAGCTGCGAGGGTGTCAGGGGCGACAGAGCAGAGAGAGACAGAGAAGAGGGAGGAGTGAACAGCCCCGGTGCGCTCTGACACGGCCGTAAACTCAAAGACACGAGAAGTAACGTACCGGACACCAAGCGTGCGCGCGAGAGGGAGAGCGGGAGACGGTCACGGAACAGGACAAACCAGGGAGTCGACATGAGCGGTCAGTTTGAAGAAGACATCCACGACCGAAGCGAGAGGAAGAACAGCAAATCCCCCACGCTGCTCTCTTCCTACTGCATAGACAGTATCCTGGGCCGGCGCAGCCCCTGTAAGGTCAGGCTTATAGGGGCACAAAGTTTGGGTTTGCCCGGGAGAGGAGAGCTGGACAAAACCTCTGACGGTAGGTTACAATTCTGACTTGCAAGTTACTTTTTTGTTTAATGGCATACTATATATTAATGCTTTTACAACGGACTGTGCTACACTGTGACATTGTTTAGACAGCTAATGATATAAATACACTTTGTTTAGACAGCTAATAATATAAATACATGAGTAATCCTAAGAGCACTGCCTGAAAATTTGTTAAACGAGGCTGACGTCTCTTTTTCTCAATTTTACGCGTCTTCAGGGCCAATGAAAGACCCCCTCTCTCTGAGCGCAGACATGCACCTGCCTCCTAAACTCCGGCGGCTCTACGGTCCTGGGGGGAAGTACCTACACGAGCACACTGAAAAGCTGGAGAGGGAGAGGTTACTCCTGGAACAAGCCAGCGACAACCTCAAAATCACCCAGGCGCCACAGGTGAGCATCAGTCGCAGCAAGTCCTACCGGGAGAACGCATCTCTGACACGGGGAGAAGGCGACCAGAGCCCCGGTGAGGGCTCAGAGGACGGTAGTCTGGGACTGGTGGAGCTTGGCCCACTGAAGTTTGAGGAGGACACCGGTAAGGAGGAGGAGAGCTGCGGGGACGCTTCAGTCTTGTCACCGAAAGACGAAGAGAGGGAAAGCTTGAACGCCGGAGACGGAGATGTGAGAGACGGCGAGGACAGCGTGTGCCTGTCCGCGGGCAGTGACTCGGAAGAAGGGATGCTGAAACGGAAGCAGAGAAGATATAGGACTACGTTCACGAGCTATCAGCTGGAGGAGCTGGAGAGGGCTTTCCAAAAGACGCACTACCCGGACGTTTTCACGAGGTGAGAAAATTAAAGCTTTATTTATAAATGTATTTTTGTATGAATCTGTAATTATTTGCATTTTAATGCTACAGGTTATAGAGTTAAGATCTGCATTAGAAAACCAACCAAGATTGCGCTAAATAGTGGTCTGTTTATACCCACATATTCTGACATTATGGCTCATTCCTAAAATATAAATTGATTTATTTAAAATAAATATAAATGATGTGTGCCCAAAAATGATAATGTATGTATAAATTCATGTTAAAATTCGTTCTGGTCATTAAAACCGCAAAATTAGGATTTCAATATTTACCATAATATGCCAAAAATAGTATTCGGCTATTATTTAATTAATACTTTATTTCAAGTGCATAAAACATTATAAAATGACCGAATATTATGCAATGTCTTTTTCCCACAAAGGCTAAAAATAATAGCCTAGTATTAATTTTAATAAATGAAATTCACACGGGTGTAAAAGAAGACTGTACGGCTCACAGCTCATAAAACACAGAAATACCAAACCCGTGCCTCGCATACGTGAGCACAATGGGCCTAAGTGTGAACAGTGTGACCGTTTTGTTACCTTTGCCGGCTCCCGTAGACGCACCAGACAACGCCATTATTCTCACGAGGAATAATTAAATGTTGCGGATTGGGTTACCTCCTGGACATGATACTGAAAGGGGAAATCCTTGGGCCTAACCGTAAACCCGGGGGCAGGTGCTTTCCACGCTCACATTGATACAAGATGTTTGCACCTTACGCACGTTTACGCACAACAGTAAAAGAAGCATAGCGAAAAAACAAAACATTTATTTACTTCGCATTTTCTGTAGCCTGCGCCCTCGATCATAAAACGCAATTTGTCAAAGAAGAATATACATTTTTACATTGAGATTATTCAAATCTTCCAATCGATTTACTTTAAGACGACTTGTAGGTCTAATTTTCACTATACAAGCCCATCTTGCGGCTGAACGGAGCGTCAATTGCTTTGTGGCAGGCTAGTTTAGATGTCATTATTTCACCCATTATGTTGTTACAGTGACAGGCCTGGGCTAAGGAAAATCTAACAATCACTAGGCCTATTTCTGCCCATCTGTGACAGGGAAAATAGAATATGGCCATGGCGTCTTTCTGCAGTTCATGCCAGGGTGAAAAAAATCAAGCTTATTTTGGTCGTCTATTGTTGACAGTGAACAACAGGTGGGGACAAAACAGCAATTCTGCCCTGCTTCCAAGCGCTGGCCTGTAACCTTGAATCTCTTCTGTCTGTCTCCTCTTGCTTATTCTCTCCTTTTTGTCCATTTTATGCTTTTCAGAGAAGAGCTTGCAATGCGCTTGGATCTTACCGAGGCCCGTGTTCAAGTAAGTTCAGTTGCACCTTTATCTACAACGGCTTGTAAAGCGAGCATCCTGTTGCCTAATGTTTTATATTGCCTTTAAAATGCACAGTGCACAGTAATAACCGGTAATATGCGTCACTGATTGGCGATCACCGATTAAGGGGCCAATTTGGGCAGTAATTTATTACGACAAAAATGTGTTAAATGGGGAGGTCTTTCCTGTTATTGAATGTTATTACGCGCGTTTTAGTGGCAATTAAGGCGACGCTGGCAATTCATAAAAAGCTCACTTAGTGCAGGAGCAAACACAGTATATTCCTGAGATGATGTGCTGTTTGAATTCCCATCACAGGAGACGGAAAGGGGGGCGATGGTGAGGGGACGAGGGAGAGAGCGAGGGGAGTGCTAATGCTATTTGATTTCCCATTATGTGATTGCAATAGACCTGCATTGATCCGATGCTTTGCACTTGGGAGCGAATGAGAGACCATTAAACGTGTTTGCTCCCCCCCTGCCATCACCTCTACCTCCCTTCACCCCCCCTCTCCCTCCCCCTTCCTCTCTCTCCCTCATCTCCCTCATCTCCATCCTCCCCTCTCTCCTCCTTCCCTTCGCCTTGCATTGAAAGCGTGGCTCGCATGTCGAAAGGCCGGGCTCATAACCAGAGAGACAGTTCAAACACGGTAAAACAACAGATGTCTCTTTAGGGGCCGTAGGTGAACAAATCACTTAACGGGCGCCATCAGGAGGTGATAAAAACTCATAAATTCCCCAGGGGCTGTGTAATGCTAAACAGCCCTCCGGGAATAATGCGCGCATGTGTGTACTGTCCCTGTCGCTCAAGCCTCGCTGTTCAATCACTTTGGCCCATGTTGACATTTTCCTCATTGTGAGCGCCCCGTGCAAACTGGCCAACAGTGGATGCGTGGGAAAGTTAAATAGTCTTGTCTTGTACTTACATCTCTTAAGAATTTAATTTAAAGCGCATTAATTGCTATTGGAGCGAGTTCAGTGGTAATTTTGGGGATCTTTTGTTAACACCGCTCTTAATTATCTCTCCCCACTCTGAAGCTTGACTGCGGGACAGGCTTTAATTAGTCAGAAAGTAGATTTAGTGAGGAACAGTGAGCGGCGGGGTTTACTGTGCGTGTAATTACCGTTGACTTTACGCCTATTGGACACCACCTGAACTAGACAACTATTTTGGCACAACACTCACTCGTTTGTGGTGAATTGGAAAGAAACTTCTCAGTCATATAAACTTCGTGGAACTGGGCCCATGCAATCTTTCAGCATCACCTGTTGAGACATTTGGAGCTAGAGTACAAAGATCAAAAAGAGTTCTGTAAATTATGAATATTAAACAAAAATATATGATCCAAACCTCTTTAACACAAACTTTTATAGAATACATCATAAGCAAACATGGGTATTGCTGATAACTGTTTCAAGTTTTAACTATTTTGTATATTTGGAAGAGGTCATTTGTGTCAGTAGGTCGAGATACACAGTGGCACAAAAATTTCCCCATCAACTGAATACATTTAGTTGTGTTTTGATGACTGACTAACTGTATCCTCTCTTCTTTACTTTCAGGTGTGGTTTCAGAACCGCAGGGCTAAGTGGAGGAAGCGTGAGAAGGCAGGTGTGCAGGCCCACCCCTCAGGTCTCCCCTTCCCTGGGCCTTTGGCAGCTGGACATCCCTTGAGCCACTACCTGGAGGGCGGACCCTTCCCTCCTCACCCCCACCCCGCCTTGGAGTCTGCCTGGACGGCCGCTGCTGCTGCGGCCGCTGCCTTCCCCGGACTGGCCCCTCCGCCACATAACGGCGCTGCTCCACCCCTCGCCACACCACTGGGCCTGGGCACGTTCTTGGGGACAGCTGCCATGTTTCGCCATCCTGCCTTCATCGGCCCTACATTTGGAAGGTAAATCTGAGAAATATTATCAATTATAATATTTGTTTGAGTTGAGAATGTGGTAATGTTCTGTCACAAGAGGGCTAACCAGTTTTCTTTAACCAACCTCCAAATATCAACTTTTGTCCAGTTGACAGAATTACATTTTCGTTTGCTCTGGAACCTCCCTGGACGCTTGATGGATTACACAGACAAATATCCACAAGCCAAAATCTACAAATTAAAACAATTATACACTAAAATAAGAATGTAAAGACAGTAATTTTCCACACCCCCATTAAATGAATACTACATATTATACTACATATTAGGACTGCTATGATGATGTCTTCTGAAACCCAACAAGATATTGTATCCCCATCGTCAAGCCTTCACAAAGGGAAACAGAATTGCTCCTTAAGCAACTACTGGAATAAATTGTACTACAATGAGCAATCGTCTCATGTCTGACAAATGGGTGATATTGTTAATGATTCACAGTGGTGTATAATCACTCTGTCAGATGCCCTAATAAATTAACCAAAGCTGTGATCTTAAAGGGAAGCTGTGAGGAGCGATGTCACTGCAAACTGCACGCCACAATTAGCTCCTCATTTGATACTTATGTTGTACTACATTACTCTGTGTTATTAACCTCGATTTGCTTTTCACAAATTAGAACAATAATGCAAAGATACAGGAACCACCTACTGTGTGTCTCAGGTTTTTGAAATGTGATAAAGTAGCTTGAAGTATAATTTGAAAACAAGATCAACACAAATATAGAGTGAGAAAGTCTCCAATTTTGGAAAACAAAACATGTTCAGTAATTAAACATTTCTGAATTAAATTAATGATAAAGAACCCATGAATGTGAGTGTATTTTGTATTTGTACATCTAACACCAAATTATGAATATATGAAAAGCTCTTTACCTTTCCTATTTGTTGGTAATAAAGCCAAGAAAATAATAAAAAAAAAGAAGTCAAGAAAAAAAAACAAACAACAAACACAATTTTCAGTGTTGTTATTTCAGGACATAATTGCAGACACTTCTTTTTTTAAAACACATTTTATTAAGTTTTAAGTATTAATTAAGTTTTCAACACTTTAATACAACACACAAAACACAGAGCAGTCTGAGCACAAATTTCAATTTCCTTCATAACACAAACATCACCTGTTGAAGTAGTTCACACTTGCTTGGACAAACAGGCAAACCTAGAGCCCGACATTGCCTTGAGCCTTTACCTCTCTGTAAAATGTCACTGAGATCATGGGGCAAGTAATCAAGCAGAGGTTGCCACAGATCTATACATTGCAAACATTTCTAACATTCAGTCTTGTGCTTGTGTCCCAGGCTCTTCTCCAGTATGGGCCCCCTAACCAGTGCTTCCACCGCGGCTGCTCTCCTCCGCCAGCCTGCCCCCCCTGTCGACAGCCCTCCCCACACAGGCCCGGTGCTGCCAGACCCCTCCTCTTCATCCTCCTCCTCTTCCTCGGCTGCAGCTGACCGCCGGGCCTCCAGTATCGCTGCTCTCCGACTCAAGGCTAAAGAACACTCGGCACAGCTCACCCAGCTCAACATCCTGCCCCCCGGAGCCACAGGGAAGGAGGTGTGCTGAAGTCTCCACCCCAGCCTCAGCCTCCCGTCCTGGGCATGTCCTACTCTGAGACCCCCCTGTCCCCCAAACCTGCCCTCACATTCATACCTCTGGAGGCTGCTTTCCCGTGATGCTCCACTGCCCCGATTACCTCATGTCCCCCAACAAAATAGCACGACCAAATTTGAGAGAGCACTGGCTAAGTGATGTCTGATAAGAACACTTGTCTCATTGATGAACTAACTTTTGAATAAGAAGGCTTCCTATTTATGTAATTATTTTATCTAATTCAAAGTGAAACAAAAGCTCCATGCACACAGATTGAAATATTTTCAGCATTTATGTATTTTAGACGCAAGGTATGTCGCAATAGCGCATTATTATAATTTTTATTTTTCCTTTTGCCATTTCCTGCCTTTATTCGAGCATAGGACAAGGCTCCGAACTTGAACAAACTGTACACTGCCTTGGACATTCTAATAAATAAAAAGTTTAACATTAATTAATAAGGATAATTTAATTTTTTTTAAAATACAATACAAATGGAAATCTTTCAATCTGTATATAATGGATTTATATAATTTGAAATCAGGTTTAAATATATTTTTTACTTATTATTATTACTTTTTTTTACTTTTCCACCTTTTTCCAATTATTTGAGAGGGCCACATTCTTTTAAAATGTTCTTATAATTACAGGAATTTGTTTTATTGCATACATTTACCAAACCCTAGATCTGAAAAAGTCATCTCCAAAACACCAGGACTTAAAATGGCCTAATCTGTATGCATTGCTGTGGGCTGAGCCAGTCTGCTCCTAATAAAGGCAAGTTGGAGGAGGTCCCCCATGAACCAAAGGAATAACTGTCCATACCTTCCGTAGCCTTCTCTACAAGCCTCTCCTCTTGCACATGTCCAAACAGCCAAACTCAACACACACTGTTTTCCTTCAACACTATATGTCTTTCCTGTACGCATACATATTTCTTTAATTTCAACATGTGTTTTGGTTGAGACTGGCTGTAGAACATGGATGCAAGTAGAGATTTGTCTCTGATGACATGACTGTGTGAGAAAATGTACATATTGTGAAAAGATAGAAGAAAAAAAGATGATTTTCAAAACAAGGTCGTGTATATTTAACTAGACCATGTTTTGATAATTTGCACTCAATGTAGTGTTTAATGAATGACGCCCTTGTCTAGAATTACACTTGTGTTTATGAATTATTATTAGGTTTCTAGATCATTATTTATGTCTATACTTACCCCGAAGGACTGACAGATTTTTCTTAAGTGATTGTAAAATTCCTGGTTTAATAATTTGAATAAATGGACACTGCTTCAATGACTTAAATTTTATCATTTCAAATTGCTTTAGGCCTAAACCAGGAGAAAATGTGAAATAGGCTATAATAGAACTATTAATAAAAGGTGTTATAAAGAAATTGTGTTTTTGTCCTAAATATGATTCCTAGCGCTGTTATGAGCAAAAGTGTTAAAGCTTAAGAAACAGGCTGTTGAAAATGCCCGTCTGCTGCTGTGAGGGATAAAGCTAACATGGTGGCGCATTATTCCACCTCAATAAGAAAACATGTATTAGGTCCCAAATGACAAATGTAATCCAGTGGCCCTGCGTGCGTCAATCCTCTTCAGCGGAGTTGACAAAATACTGACCATATATTCATGAACCTAATCCCCAACATGTGAAACGCACGCACAATAGAGAGGGCTTTTCAATTAGATCGCCCACTTTATCTGGGGGACCCGACACAAAACTTCCTTCAAGGCCCTTTAAAGGCTCTAAATTGGTCTTAACATCTGTAATACCATGTCGATGGAAGCGGTGTGCCTTTGTCATTAATGAGGTAACAAACCACTTCATCAAAAACGCCTTTCACACACGCACCTCGTCGAGTTAATTCTCCCAAATCTCTTCTTTTTCCATTGGACCACAGCGGAGGGACGCGCGGGACCACTGCAGCAATCAATGGTATTTCTTGTCCCGTTTGACCCATCTTTGAGCCCGGCCAAATCGCGTGAAATTACTCCGCGGATTAATTTAGTCTCCGTTCTTAAGTGAGTGCTTTTGTGCGCAACCCTGCCCCTCCATATTAGGCTTGGTATTACAGATCATTATTGTCTATACACCTGTTAATCACAAGTTTGACCAAATGAAGAAATTGGAATTTGGATAGTTTGAATTCAGCTTTGGACCATGGCGCATAAAACTGGAAAAGATTGTTATGCATAACCATAACCCCACGTTGTTTTTATTCTGTAGAGCAGTGAAGCGAAAGTACTTTACTTGTATAGGGTTTTGATGAGATTGCTCGAGGGAGTTTTTAATCTTATTGTGAATATAACTAATGAATAGCAAACCAATTTGTCCCTAATATCCAGGGAATGCTGGGAGGCGGATGGCCCGCTGTGAGCCAGGCTTTAAACTTTCTCTGAGGCGCAAAAAGGCGAGAAAATTGAAATTCAGTGGCTGTGTGGACCCATAAAGTCACACTTGTTGGATGTGTGCCTTTTCATTCAGCACATCCCAGACCAGGGATGAAAGGCTCCTGTGCATATGTGCAATGTTGGCGCACAGAACCACACTGCCCAATCATGCGCAAATACGCAAATTTGGCGGCATTTAAAAGCTGCACAGGCGCCGTTTTGTAACACAATGTACTGGTGCATTGGGTTTCACAATACCGTCTCCTCGCAGGTTAACGCAGGTGTAATGTTCTCCCAATGCACCATTTTCATCATGACCATCGCTTCGCCTTTCCAAGTCCAGCTGTGTCCAGGACGTGATTTGGCCCGTGATTTGGATTCACCGGGGCCTCGTTTCTCTCAGCGCGTCCCGCCGCCTGAGAGAATAGGCCCAATCACTCCACACAGCCGCCTGGATCACTGCTCACTCAGGCCCCGGGAGTGAGACGCTCTAAAAGGCGCTTTGATGATGAACACCCCGAGCCTCGCCGCTCCCCTCCAGGCGAGCCATTCCTGAATAGCGAGGCCATGGCACCGCGCTCCCCTCTCCGCTCGCCCCTTAATTCCTCCGTCTCTCTTGCTCTCATCCAATTAGCTCAGTGTATTAAGCGGTTTATCGTCTCATAACCGCCCATTCAGCTCCAACAAGGGAGACACTTTGCAATAGGACCGGCTCTCCTTTTGACACCCCTTTCTGGTGCTTGTATGGTACACCTCCCTATGAATAACAGCGACAGAATAGGAGACTAATTCCCTCATCAAAGCCTACCTTGTCCATTGCTGGTCAAAACGACGAGCAATAAAGCTTAACACCACCAAATAAAAGCGTCGTGTACGACCTTATTAGCTTAGCAGAGTCGAATTAATTCCCATTTGACTGGTCCAAGCCAAGAGGACAAAACTAGGCACTTACTTCAAAACAGCGCACCATTAAAGCCCCACTGATTAATTTTGACAAACAAATTGATGCAGAGAGTAAGATGGAGCCTTGCACTGTTGATATGATTTAATAAATATGTAAAGTTAGAAGCAATAAAGGAGTAAATGGCTCTGGCTCTCACGCAGCGCGCTCTATCCATCGCGTAGCGGATCACGGTGCAAGTGTTCAGCCCACTTAAGGTTGCTTTCACAAGTTACAGTGGTTTTGAAGTGATTTGCGAGGCGTGCAGTGTTTATGGAAATGCACACGGCAGGAACGAGTAAAAATCCCCCACTGTATTAACAAAAAGAAGAAAATGCGTTTGTACATAGCTGCACGCTGAGCTCTGACGGGTTTAAATGGTTTGCTACATCATACATTAAGACCATTTCACTGTGTCACGTGGTCACAGAATGGCACTGATTGACTTTCACGTTCCATAAGTCTCTTATTATGCAATCTGACTACAATGAGGTGGGCTTCTAGCAACACATTATACCCCAATTTATTGGATTTGTGACCACCAAAATAATGACGACCTACAAGAATATAATTTGCAATAAATAAATACAGAGCAGTAGGACATGCCTGAGCTGAAGATTGAATTCCAGATTTATAGTAGGGCCTTTAAAAAAAACAACAGAATACAAAACTATAAATCAGTTCACAACCACCAGTTGCCAGTTTATTTGATGATTGGGCAATAGGGCCTGCAAAGAATAGAAGAATAATGAAAGGGCATTCTGCAACTATAGAGATGAACATTAAAATCACAACTCAACACATAAAACACAAAATTATGATAAATTATAGGATTACTTTTATGATATGATTCAAAAATATCCACTGGGAAACTAAAATATCCACTTATCCACTATATGATGGTTCGGTCAACTGTGATTATTAAAAGGAATAAAGTGTAGAAGTGTTAAGTTTGGTTGCTGTGTGAATCGGTTTAATGCAGTTCCAAACCAAAATACAATCACAAATTTAACAATCAGCGTTTTATTGAGCATCAAAATGTTGTCATCAAAATACTTGTATCAAATATTTCACTGTTACACGCAAAAACACAATAAATCATCCAGAGTTACAAAAGACACAAATAATAATTGTTTAAAAGACAAATATGAAGAACGGTTAAACAGACAAGATCAGATGTTTGACACAATAGCTTTAGCTCAGTGCGCGTGGTCTTGCACACCCCATCCCTTCCCAGCATCCTCCTCTCCACTCTCCCATACACACCAGCAGCTCGGCACACTGCTGCACACTGGGGATGAATGGCAGTAATCAGAACAAGTGTCCCATTCGCCACGGGCATTGGCTTGGTCTTAGTTGCCTGGGTCACTATCATTGCCTAATTAGTGGCCTTTTGGAGTACACTGGCAGCCAGCAACGATAAGTCATTTTTACCCATAGACACACATGCACACAATAGCTTGGACCATTTAGGTTTGATTGCTGCTCCCCCTTCTTACTATAGCAAGTGATGGGGTCAAGTCAAGAGTTTGCAGGCGGTGTCTATGTCAAAGGGTGGACGATTGTGATTGGATTTGAAGTCCTATACCAAAGCCATTATGTATAGGGCAGTTGCTTGGAGAGGGTCCAGGGGTCAAACGCCTAAAATGACCCTAAAATAGGAGACAAAGCAGGTGCAATCTGATAAAATGCCTCAGCGGTTGGTCTCTGATGTAGTGGTATATTATGTTGTAGGTTTATTTGAGGGAAGAGAAGGCCTGGAAGAGTTTAGCCAAGTTGATCTCGGAGTAGCCGCTGATGGCCAAGGCCTTGTCTGGGACTTCTTTAAGCTTTTGATATACATCTTTCTCTCTGCTGAAGTTTCTGAGGTGACCTAAAAACACATCAGAATGATTAAATTAGACACATTATGCGATATAAACATTTAACCAAGCTTTTAACCATATAATCATGACCCTGACCAAAGCTTACGCAAAACTGTATTCATACCTGTTTGAGTAATTCTGTATCGTCCTGCATTTGAGGCTTGAGAGCTCAGCAAATTTCTGTTATCACCCACCTCTGGCCACTTCTATATTCTTAATTTAGACTCAGGTTCATACATATAGAGTTAAGCATTTAACAAGGGTAAGCAAAAGTATCGAAATATCGTAATATTAAAATAGGTGATACAGTATCATTACTGTGGGCGGATGTATTGATATATCTTTTAGCAATTTTTTTTTTGTGACAACCCTACAATTTTGTTGCTTAGTTAGTGGGTGGAAACTTGTTTATGCAATACACTTAAACATATTCAGTGCTTTGATGAGTAAAAAAGATGTTTTTCATATTAACTTTGCAAGTAGTGGCTTAACAAAGAAATACTGTTAAAATGTATTTGGTTCTTAAAAAACAACAATGTATCACAGAGTATCATGTGCAATATATTGATTATGGCATGTATTGCATATTATAATGATAATATTATATCGTGAGCCATGTATAGAGCATTGTAATTCCCAACCCTACTGCTTAAAATGGAACTATACAAATGTGGGTTCTGTCAGTTCTGCCATTTTAGATTAATATTGCGATATACAATGAACAACCTGTCAAAACATTATCTACATGTCTTCTAGTTTCATACCAACTCAAAACCAGTAAAAACACATCCTTATTAGAGCCATCTTGGCAAGGAACAAAATCTGGACTATCACCAAAGAATAAGTTGCATGACAAATCTTTTTAACAACCAACCAAAAATACAACCTCTCCGCTGATAAAACTACTATCAAAAACATTATGCTTCCAAAAGTATACCACCATTTTGAGAATAGGAAAAAACTATTTCGCTAGTATTGCAGATCACACTTTTAGTTCACTTTACTTAATCTGTATTATTAGCCATGCACTAAAGTGGCTAACAGCAGCGAAACATTACCACCAAATGCGGTTTTATCTGTAACTGCCTGTACTGTTGGCTGTAGTGTCATCAGTAATGCTATCACTGAGCCCTGAGACTGGTGACAGAATT